GAGCCGAGATCATCGGGAAGTCCCAGATGGGGTAGGTACCGCATCCCACCTCACCCAGGTGGAACCCCGGTGACCAGAAGCCTCTACAAGAACAGATCGAGTATGCAGGAACTAGGACTTTTCCTCAAATCTGCCGGGACTACAACTCCCAGGTAATCTCAGATTCCGGAAGTCACGCCCACAGCCCGCCCCCCAGCGCCATCTTTAAAGCATTCAGCCAAAGAGAAGGACTACATGCAGGGCGGGATTCACAGATACCGAAGGAAAAAAAAAAACAGGTTCCAAAAAGAGCCGAGATCATCGGGAAGTCCCAGATGGGGTAGGTACCGCATCCCACCTCCCCCAGGTGGAACCCCGGTGACCAGAAGCCTCTACAAGAACAGATCGAGTATGCAGGAACTAGGACTTTTCCTCAAATCTGCCGGGACTACAACTCCCAGGTAACCTCAGATTCCGGAAGTCACGCCCACAGCCCGCCCAACAGCGCCATCTTTAAAGCATTCAGCCGAAGAGAAGGACTACATGGAGGGCGGGATTCACAGATCCTGAAGGAAAAAAAAAAACAGGTTCCAAAAAGAGCCGAGATCATCGGGAAGTCCCAGATGGGGTAGGTACCGCATCCCGCCTCCCCCAGATGGAACCCCAGTGACCAGAAGCCTCTACAAGCACAGCTCGAGTATGCGGGAACTAGGACTTTTCCTCAAATCTGCTGGGACTACAACTCCCAGGTAACCTCAGATTCCGGAAGTCACGCCCACAGCCCACCCCCCAGCGCCATCTTTAAAGCATCCAGCCGAAGAGAAGGACTACATGGAGGGCAGGATTAACAGATCCCAAAGGAAAAAAAAAAACAGGTTCCAAAAAGAGCCGAGATCATCAGGAAGTCCCAGATGGGGTAGGTACCGTATCCCGCCTCCCCCAGATGGAACCCCGGTGACCAGAAACCTCTACAAGCACAGCTCGAGTATGCGGGAACTAGGACTTTTCCTCAAATCTGCCGGGACTACAACTCCCAGGTAACCTCAGATTCCGGAAGTCACGCCCACAGCCCGCCCAACAGCGCCATCTTTAAAGCATTCAGCCGAAGAGAAGGACTACATGGAGGGCGGGATTCACAGGTCCCAAAGGGAAAAAAAAAACCAGGTTCCAAAAAGAGCCGAGATCATCGGGAAGTCCCAGATGGGGTAGGTACCGTATCCCGCCTCCCCCAGATGGAACCCCGGTGACCAGAAGCCTCTACAAGCACAGCTCGAGTATGCAGGAACTAGGACTTTTCCTCCAAACCACGCGGCCGCTTATGCGGCCATGCGACATCTCTCTATATACAAAGTGATCCATGGGAAGTAAACCACCCAATGTTTCTCTCTGAAAATCATACTTAAGTTTGGAGCACGGCCACAGCCCAGAAACACAAGGACTTAAAGCATAACCCAGCAGCTTGGAGCAGAAAAGTGAACAGGCTATGCGTTAATCCAGGCCATCATTTCTGTCCGGAGGGGAAAGGGTGTTGCCCCATTCGCCCTCTCTTCTCTGGAAAGAAGGATGGCAGCCGCATGGGGGCCTTGTGGACAGCAGGTATGAGCCGGGGGTGTGGGGGCGACTAAAACCTCATGGGAAGGGTGGCGTTCCGGTCTGTCCTTCACACCCTACCGAGGCCACCAGTTGCCCCCCACAAGCAGCTCTCCAGCACGGCCACAGCCCCAGAAACACAAGGATTTAATGCAGAACCCAGCAGCTTGGAGCAGAAAAGTGAACAGACTATGCGTTAATTCAGGCCATCAAGTCTGCTGGATGGGAAAGGATGTTGCCCCATTTGCCCTCTCCTCTCTGGAAAGAAAGATGGTGGCCACATGGGAGCCTTGTGGACAGCAGGCATGAGCCGGGGGTGTGGGGGCGACTAAAACCTCATGGGTAGGGGGGCGTTCCGGTCCGTCCTTCACACCCTACCGAGGTCACCAGTTGCCCCCCATGAGCGGCTCTCCAGCACGGCCACAACCCCAGAGGCGCAGGGACTTAATGCAGAACCCAGCAGCTTGGAGCGGAAAAATGAAAGGACTATGAGTTAATCCAGGACATCAAGTCTGCCCGGAGGGGAAAGGGTGTTGCCCCATTCGCCCTCTCTTCTCTGGAAAGAAGGATGCGGCCACATGGGAGCCTTGTGGACAGCAGGTATGAGCCGGGGGTGTGGGGGCGACTAAAACCTCATGGGAAGGGGGGCGTTCCAGTCCGTCCTTCACGCCCTACTGAGGTCACCAGTTGCCCCCCATGAGCGGCTCTCCAGCACAGCCACAGCCCCAGAAGCACAAGGACTTAATGCAGAACCCAGCAGCTTGGAGCAGAAAAGTGAAAGGACTATGCGTTAATCCAGGCCATCATGTCTTCCCGGAGGGGAAAGGGTGTTGGTCCCTTCCGCCCTCCTCCCTCTGGAAAGAAAGATGGCGGCCACATGGGAGCCTTGTGGACAGCAGGTATGAGCCGGGGGAGTGGGGGCAACTAAAACCTCATGGGAAGGGGGGCATTCCGGTCCGTCCTTCACGCCCTACCGAGGTCACCAGTTGCCCCCCACGAGCGGCTCTCCAGCACGGCCACGACTCCAGAGCACAGAAACCAATTTCTTAACTATCTGACTTTCAGTAGAAATACTTCCAGGGTCAATAAGTAAAATAGCAGAAATCCAAAACCAACATTTAATTCTTGAACCCAGCTGTAGAAAGCAAATCACTTCACAATGCTTTTTCAGCATGTCTGATTTGGGGCGGGGGGGTAAACTCTAAATAATAGTGGTGAATCTTTTATTGAAACAATGAATCTAATCAAAGCAGATAGAGTGTTAACTAGAATTCATCTGCCCCACAGGGACTGGGAGGGGTTGGGGGTGGGGTTTTATTGGGGTTCTTCATGGTAAAAAATAAGTATTGGTAAAGGGAAATGTGTTTGATATTTGCATGACTGAGACCTAAACCTGAAAGCTTTGTAACCTTTCCCACGGTGATTCAATAAATAAATAAATAAATAAACAAATAAAAAGAAATAAATGAAAAAAAAAGAAAGCAAGGGACAGACAGAAAGATCGCATTAATTTGGGGAATATAAAGAAACAAAATAAGAAACTATCATCCAAGAATAGTCGAGATATGTACCAGGAGGTTCATCCATGGCTTGAAAGCCAGCTGCACATGCTAGGGCAAAGGGCAGGTCAGATAGAGAAGAGAATACCAAGCAAAGGGCGTTGTGAGGATCCTTCCAGGATGGTAGATGCATGCTGAAAGAAGACTATAGACCAAATATGATTGCCACTCAATGCCTCTTTTGCAAACCTCAGCAACCAAAAGGAGATAGAGAACAAAAGGGAATGCCCTGCCACAGAGGTGGGATGGGATGGGAGGATTGAGTTTGGTGGGGAGGGGAGGGTGAAAGGGATACTGGGATCATTAGGGGTGATAATGGGCACTGGTGGAGGATGGGTACTTGATCATTGCTGGCCGACTTCGACCATGAGTGTGGAAGGGTCGAACTGCAGCTGAATCTCATCAATACAATGTTCATGAGAAATGGACTAGTTCCTGACATTCCATTTTATCTCAATGGAACAAATATCTCCGAATGTAGCACTTATGTGTACCTAGGTCGAGAACTCAGTATGACAAAGGACCTGGCACCTGAGCTGTGCAGGAGGAAGAGAAAGGCGTGGAATGCCTTCAAGAGCATCAAAGAAGTTGTTAAGAGGATGAAGATCCTCTGGCTCTGGGCACATCTTTTCAACTCCACCATTCTTCCTACATTAACATATGCCTCAGGGACCTGTGCCCTATGAAAACAGGATGAGAACACTGTTTTGTCTCTCAAAGAGAAATTGAAAGAGCTATGCCTGGAATATCATGTTTCACACAAGTGATTAAAGGAATCCGGAGTACGGAACTCTGTTGATGATCAAGAATCAGGGATGCTGTCTCGTTTGCCAAGGTGTTGAAAATCAGATGGCCCAGACACGTAATGCGATTTGAAGATGACCGCTTGAGTACCGACTGGATTCCACTTGATGTCAAAAGAATGCCTGGCTGCCTACTTATGAGATGGTCAGACTTCTTTGTCAAGACCCTGAATGAGCAGTTTGAGGCTCTTCGTGTTCCTGGAATGGGAGATTCCATTGGGCTACACTAGCACACAGCAGGGGTGAATGGAGACATTACTAGCACCCGCTCAAGCAAATTGGTGATCAAAGGGATGACAAGTGATACAAGTGATTGGTCACAAACAAGACATGCACTTTAGCTCCTATACAATCTCTCTGGTCCCTTTCCCCCTTTTTTGCTACTACAAAATTAGTGTGATTAGCTTATTAATCTATAATAAAATGACACACATGCACATATTTTATGGAATATACATGAGTTGTTTTCATTAGAAACACAAGAAACAGATAACATCATGTTCACTTATGTGGTGACAATGATTTCTTCAAGAAAAGTAGAAGGGAGGAATGAAGATTACTTTTTCTTGTGCACAAAATTTATTTGTATTCCTGAATTTAGAATCATATAAATGCACTGACTACTATAAGAAAATACCCAGTATGTAAACTTTATGCTTTAGTAAGTTAAACGTGGACTCAGAAATGGATGTGTAGACTTAGTGATTCCTTCTCTATCCCAGCTACCAATGATGGTTGAAGGGATTTCTCGGGATGGGAGATTTGTGCTGAAAGTAGATAAAGGACCAAACATGATGGCCTCTCAATATCTGTATTGCAAATCATAATGCCCCAGAGTAGAGAGAGAGTAAGAAGGAAATTGTCTGCCATAAATGCAGGGGGTGGTTTGGGGTTGGGGTGGTGGGAAGGATACTGGGGACACTGAAGGTGGAAAATGTACACTGGTGAAGGGATGGGTGTTTCATCATTGTATGACTGCAACTCAATCATGGAAGCTTTGTAAATGTATTTCATGGTGATTCAGTTAAAAAAAATTTTAAAGATTTGAATTTGAAAAATATATATATGTATGCTTAATCTGGCAGAGCAGATACCAGGATCGCAAAGGTGGTTTTTCCTAGGGTGAGGTTTATCCACTGCATGCCATATGTAATGACTTCTGAAATTTCCCCAAATGTGGGAAACTTGACTGCATAATTTGTTGTATTGGGGACTGCGTTCATGCTCTCCCTTGTCCCCTGAAAAAAGTATATTTTGGGTAAAATATGAGCTCCTAAGTGATTGTGGGTAACTATATTTGGTAAACTATTATTAACAGACACTCAGGATTCTTGTCATCCTGCTGAAATTAAAAATTCTTCCATCCTGCTGTGGAAAATAAAAGGGTATGTGCAAGTTCTTCCTTTCCATCTCTGTTGATGGAAACACCTGTCTCTGCAATAAAGTTAGAATGGTAAACCTAACCTCATTTGTAAACAGTCAAAAATCTTACATTTATGATAACTCATTACACTTCTGATAATTTCAGTGATAACATGATGCAGACTAGAAGGAAATATTATGAAATTCATGAAATATTATGAAGGAAAAATTATGTAAGGGGAAAATGATGTTTTCTCTAATATAAGCTTTAAGTAAACAAATAAATAAATACAGGCTTTGGAACTAGAAAAGAGTTTATCTTATTTTCATGGTAAAATAGAAATATCAATTAAAAGTTTTTCTAGGTATTTGAATTTCCCATTCAGACAGAAAGCTGAATCTTTCCCAACTTTTTATTTAGGTGTGTCAGGAAGGTCTTGGGCCCCTCCTACGGTGTCACCCTGTTATTGTACCCGTATCACAGTGGGTAGGGTGTTTGCCTTGCACGCGGCCCACATGGCGGACCCAAGTTTGATTCCTCTGCCCCTCTTAGAAAGCCCAGCAAGCAACCGAGAATATCTCGCCTGCATGTCAAAGCCTGGCAAGCTACTTGTGACATACTTGATATGCCAAACACAGTAACAACAAATCTCACAATGGAGACGTTACTGGGCCCGCTCAAGCAAATCTATGAAAAACAGGAGGACAGTGCTACGGATAGTGCTACAGTGCTACAGAGCTAGCACCTAGAATAGGTTCTTCTCCCTTACCCTCACAATACTCACTAAGAATTTCTAGGTCACATATAGGCTGCATGATAGCTCTCTTCACTCACCTTCATCCACCTAAGGGCTACTGAGACCTCTTGCTGGTATGCCAGTATATTCTATAAAAGTCACTGGCACTGCAACAGAGAGCCTAACTCCAACCTTGCCTGTCCTACTGAAACTCCTCTAAAAGGCAGTAGAGAGAGAAAAAAGAAAGAGAAGCACAAACAACAGCCTAATAGTGTAAACAATGAATCAGATTGACATTTAGATTACGGAATCTGAAGTCCCATAGTCAGCACTCATGAAGATTAAAGAACTATGAAAAAATAAAAACAATGTAATTCAGTTCCTACAAGGGGCAGGAACAAAAGTCCAGTTAAGTCCTCAAGTGCTTCAAAACTCTAGATCTTGAAGGAACTCAAAGCAATACCTGCTATAATAGCAATGGAAACTAAGGAAATGCTGAAAGTCAAATTTAATCATTTCCAAGAAAACAGTTTTAGGATATTAAAGAATTCATAAAAAATGGAAGTGAAGCCATTAAATAATACAACAGCATGTTTCATCAATAGAATTCTGAATGCTCAAACCCATATCAGCAAAATTGAGGACAAAACTTAAGTCATCAACAAAAATGAAGAAGCAAAAAAAAAGAGATATAAAATTTGGAATAAAATGTAAGATACTTAATGGAAAAAAGGAGGTATAATCTGCAAAATATAGGAATATCAGAGAGTCAAAGAAAAAGAGGAAGAGCAACTGATGGGAGATATAATAGATCAGATTGTTCCCAGTCTCTGGGGAGAGTTTCATAGAGTCAAATGATGCAAGAGTACCAAATAAAATAGATTCAAACAGAACAATACCAAAACACATTGTAAACAAAATAACAAAAAAACAAAGGGAGAGATTGAGTACTTAAAGTGTCAAGAAAGGTGCAAAGCCTTAGAAAGAGATGAAAACCACAACAAATCTCTCATTTAAAATCATACAAGCAAGATAAAAATGGAACTGCATATTGAAAGTACTGATTGAAAAAGATCTCCAACATACAGCCCACTACCCATCAAAGCTGTCTCTTAGATTTGAGGTTGGAATACAATCTTCAGAAAAACAGGAGCTTGGGAGCAAGTTGGCGGCAAGAGGTAAAGCTGGAAGAGGGACAGCAGCTTTCAATGCTCTGAACAGCCAATGTGGTCAGAAATTTTTTTCATGAGTGAATGTGGGTGCCTCTGCAATATTCTATCTCAGGAAAGCGTCATTAAACGAAATTGGCTGGTCGCTCAGAGTGGGACTTGTGAGGATGGCAGCTTCACAGCCGCCAGTGGGAAGAGTTCCTTCAGCTTTTGGTGCTATGGGCAGCGGCAGATTTTTAATGTGTCTAAATATGGCTCCTTGGGCCCAACACGGCACCACCGTGAAGCATGCATCCTGATGTTAAGGGGGCTTCACATGTTACCACTATGGGGCCCTAGTGATTCCTCCTTGGTGGGGCAGCCCTGCCACCATTTCTTTCCTGGACCAGCCTACTGCATTTGTAGCATATTAGGGAGGAAAACATTCCTAAGTGCCAAATCTCTGGAGACCCAGGATGGGGCCATGTGTCCCCTTGTCAGGCTCTGCTGAACTTGTGGCTGCAGCCCACCCAAAGTGCCCAGATCACAAACAGGAGCAGCCCTGGATCTTGTCCTAGTCTCTTGCACGACTGATGCTGCCAGTGCCACTGGGACCCAGGGGGCATGGCAGTGCTAGCAGGTCAAACTGAACCCACAGGGGGAATGCATCAGCAGCCTAACAGTGCCCACAAACCACCTTTGGCTTAGTCATAAAAGCTCATTAAATGGTCTTGCTTCAGAGAATCATAAATAAATCTCGAAAGAAATCAAAGGCCACTGTTAATCTCAGGGATATTAACCTGCTAAAACTTAGGATATGCAGGTTTTGTGACTGAAACATTCAAATTTGGGACGGACTACCTACCTCCACCTCCCTATATTCCGGAAGAACCAGGAGTCATTCCCATGAAGTAATTCTAGCACCACCATGAAAGCTCTTCTACTGGTTTCTCCTCAGAGATCCATAAATAAATCTCAAAAGAAATCAAAATCTTCAGTTAATCTTGCACCTGCAAAAAGCTGAACATACCAGGGTAGATTCTAGGGATGTGAGTTAGCCTGGTGGCCGCCCAAACCAAGACCCTGGAAGTCACTCACTTGCACAAACCAAAAGCACTACCATGTCCCCAGCCAGACTCCACCATCTTGGGATGAGCCTCACTGAGATATTAATCTGCTGAAAATTCAAGTATGTGGGTTTTGTGACTGAAACATCTGGGCTGTCTCGGGACTGGGTTGGGCTACCGCTCCCCACCTTCCTGGACTTCCAGAACCCCTGGAAGTCACATCTACACCCCAAATCCTCCACCCACTGAAAAAAGACTGCTCCAGTTGTACCTTCCAAACAAAAACGCTGAACATCCGGAACAAACATGATGACCTCTTTACCTGTTTTGCAAACCATAATGCACAAAAGGAAAGAGAGAAAGAAGACAAGTGCCCGCCATAGAAGCAGACAGGGATGTAGGGTTGGAGGGGGTGGTGGGAGAGAAACTGGGGGCATTGGTGGTGGGAAACGTACACTGATGAGGGGATGGGTGTTAGAACATTGCATGACTGAAACCCAATGGTGAATAGTTTTCTGATTGTCTATCTCAAAGTGAGTCAATGAAAATAAAAAAGCAACCCCAAGAGCTGGCTATGTTTGGTACAACTAAAGCACCCCAGCAAGAATTACTGAAAGAATACCTAGAAAAAGCAAATGGCCAATTACAAAAACAACCAAGTCTCGTATAGAAAAATGGCAACATTGAAGACAAAGTTGGCAAAACCCTCCATGACATTGAGGCTAATGGTATTTTCAAAGATGCCACGCCACTGGCCGAGCAAGTGAAAACAGAGATAGATAAATGGGACTATCTTAAACTAAGAAGTTTCTGCACCTCCAAAGAAACAGTGACCAAAATACAAAGACAGTTTACAGAATGGGAAAGGATATTCACCGAATACACATCTGACAAGCGGTTGATATCAAGGATATACAAAATACTGGTTGAACTCCACAAGCAGAAGACATCCAACCCCATCAAAAAATGGGGCAATGAAATGAACAGAAACTTTCTCAAAGAAGAAATCCAAATGGCAAAAAAGCACATGAGAAAATGTTCTACATCATTAATCATCAGGGAGATGCAGATCAAAACCACAATGAGATACCATCTCACACCTCAAAGACTGACCCACATTCAAAAGAACAAAAGCAACAGTTGCTGGTGCGGATGTGGCAAGAAAGGGACACTCCTTCACTGTTGGTGGGAATGTCGACTAGTTCAGCCCTTTTGGAAAACAGTATGGACGTTTCTCAAAAAATTAGAAATTGAGCTCCCATTTGACCCAGCGATACCACTCCTGGGAATATATCCCAGAGAGGCAAAAATGTGTAGTCGAAGAGACATCTGCACTTGTTTGTTCATTGCAGCGCTCTTTACAATAGCCAGAAACTGGAAGAAACCTGAGTGCCCAAGAACAGATGACTGGTTAAAGAAACTTTGGTACATCTACACAATGGAGTACTATGTAGCTCTTAGAAAAGATGAAGTCATGAAATTTACATACAAGTGGTACAACATGGAAAGTATCATGCTAAGCGAAATGAGTCAGAAAGAGAGGGATAGACATAGAAAGATTGCATTCATCTGGGGGATATAAAGTAACAAAATATGAGATTAATACCCAAGAATAGCTGAGATCAACACCAGGAGTATTACTCCATAGCTTAGAGGCCAGCTGGGTATTCTAGGGGAAAGGGCAGTTCAGATAGAGAAGGGAGCACCAAATAAAGGGTGTTTGGAGGACCTTCCCAGGAGGGGAGATGCATATTGAAAGTAGACTATGGACTGAACATGTTTGCCACTCAATGCCTCTTTTGCAATCCACAACACCCAAAAGGAGAGAGAGAACAAAAGGGAATGCCCTGCCACAGAGGCAGGGTGGGAGGGGGGGAATGGGGGGGATATTATCCATGGTGGTGGAAAATGCGCACTGG